TAAACCCATCCTAGTCTGGCTAATATTCGATTCCTAGCAAAACATTAAACAATATCTGTTTATCAATCCATTTCAACAACAAGACTGCCTTCAAAGCCCTGCTAGAATTGCTACTACAATCGTTATATCAATTCATTCATTCAACAGCTACGGATTCCTGCAAATAACAAAGAGAGCTCATTTTTCGTTATCCAGTCCAACATATTACTAGTATCTCTTTCCTTTCCCTTTTTTCTTGGCCTTGATTCGTTTCTCTCGGCTATTCATTTTTTATTGACTGACATTCAACGCCTCAATTCACGAAACAACCAATCCTTTCTCCCATTTTTTCATTGATTCTTTCCCTACTCGGATTTCCACACTCAATGTAATCCTAATCCTGAAGACTGCAATGTATTAAAAGTACATTTCTACAAAAACAATAATCCCTTGATCTTTGCAATGCGGCTCTACTCGTTTCGAACGACTTATTCGTTTCATGACCTTGAGCGCACCTCGATTCCGGTGAGTGAAGGTTTTCATTGTTTATTTCGCAAATTCTTGAGTTTCTTTTCAAGTAGACAATATTAATATCAAATAGAAATTCCAATTGCGATGCTAGCTGGACTTTGACAACTAATCCAGAGTGCTAGATCATCTTAAAGTTTACACTTTGAGTCACTGCATCACTTGACTCTTTGGCTTGATCTAGCTATCATATGTCAACTTACCTATCTGCTTGAGAGTCATCCAATAGTTGCTAGACTTGTGCGCTTTAACTAGTTGTGCGCTTAACTTGATACTTAAGTGAACTTGTATCGTAAACTTGGCTTGGTAAAAAACACTGGAAAATATCCCAGTAGTTGGCAGTCTCAGGTACTTTAGTCCTAATTTATTGAAGTAAATTACGATTAAAGTATGATTGAAGTCAAGATTACTTGGTAAAAGATAATGGAAACTATCTCAATCTTACCAAGCTCAATCATACAGCAGCCACGTTAACTTCGCCGCTTTTTCCGATCCATTTGCCGTTGGCAATCTACGAATTTTGCGCGTATCTTAGCCGGGTTTGTTTGAAAAAAAGTTGAATTTGATTTCATTCGATAGAAAATTTGATTTCAAGTCGAATGAAAGCAAATTAGCAGGATTTAGCCATACCTGACTTAGCAAAGTTAGCAAATGTCTTCCAGAGTTAGCAAAGGTCTTCCAGAGTTAGCAGATGTCTTCCAGAGTTAGCAAAGTCTTCCAGAGTTAGCAAATGTCTTCCAGAGTTAGCAAATGTCTTCCAGAGTTAACAAATGGCTTATAAATTTGAATTAAAACCTACAAATTCTCGATGCTAAACCCCATTTACCCACTCTTCTCGCTTTTGACCGTAAAGTCCACTATTTTTGTCTCAAAAACCCTTCCGCGGTTCCTTTCAAGGAAAAGAAACGAATGCTTGTGTTGACTTTTCGACGTGAGCCTCTTTTTCAACTTTTATTCCTTTTTAGATTCTATTTTTCATCTATGATTTCCACACATTGATAGGCTGATTCACCATTTTTCATTTCGATTTTCTCGAAAGACGAAAAAAAATTGTCAACAAGAGAACAGCGAAAAGTTTCAGCAATCAATTTGATTTATTTGGCTTTACACAATTTGGCAAAAAGGTGGCTATTTGATTGCTATTTGATTGATATTTGATTGCTTGATTGGTGGGGTGAAAAGGCCACTTGAGTTGATATTCACTCGAGAAGATATTCAGTAAACTTTGATTCTCTTCTACTATTCCGAACACTATCTGAGATGTCTGAGAAGCTAGAAAAGTCATGGAATCATTCCGATTTCCTCGCAAAATCGCTTTTCAATCTCTTGCAAAGATTGAAGCCACATTACAAGGCGATCGCTAAACCGCCGACAATCATTGTGAGTTTTGAGCTGTTCCTACTAGAGCTGGTCATACTAGAGCTGTTCGTACTAGAGCTGCTCGTACTAGAGCTGTTCGTACAGCTTTAAAAACTGTTCTATATGTGTGTTTCCTTGATTCCTTGGTGTTGATAATATAATTTGAGTTGACGTTGTTGACTTTTGAGTTTGAATAGTTGACAAAGTTGATTTAACAATTTATTTAAGACGAAATTTTGGGCAATTCTTTTCAAAAACAAAAGTTTGACAACGAATTTAACCAAAGAGAAACAATGCTTTGAAATGGCGGACAAATAGGGGTACGGTAGGCACTTTGGATCCACACAAGTTAACAAACAAATAATCTGTGGAAAATGATTTAAAGCAACTATTGGTACTATCCTGTTATACATCCCCACGCGTTTTGTGCACCTAATTTAGACTACTTTAAAATCATGTGTTTAGAATAAGTTGTTTAATATGTTTAGACTATAGTTTTGGACTAAGCGTAGATTAGATCATATGCATCAAGTAGATAAAACAATATTATACATTCTAAATGGTTAGGTCAATTGGAATGGGGATGTATAACAGGATAGTACTCAACTATTATATTCTTTTCATCTCGCATAAGCTGAATTGCCTCATCACCTGCTGTAAATATAAATGTAAATGTACTTTACGTAACTATTTGCATGTTTTAAAAGAGCTAAAGAGTTGGTTTGCATAAAAGAAGGGCTAAAGAGCTTGGGCTCAGGGTCAGGGTTAGGCTTAGGCTTAGGCTTAGGCTTAGGCTTAGGCTTAAGCTTAGGCTTTTAGGCTTAGGCTTAGGTTAGGCTTAGGCTTAGGCTTAAGCTTAGGCTTAGGCTTAGGCTTAAGCTTAGGCTTTTAGGCTTAGGCTTAGGTTAGGCTTAGGTTAGGCTTAGGTTTAAGCGTAGGCTTAGGCTTAGGCTTAGGCTTAGGTTTAGGCTTAGGCTTTTTGGCCTTAGGCTTAGGCTTAGGTTTAGGTTTAGGTTTAGGCTTAGGCTTAGGCTTAGGCTTAGGTTAGGCTTAGGCTTAGGCTTAGGTTAGGCTTAGGCTTAGGCTTGGACTTAGGTTTAGGCTTAGGCTTAGGCTTAGGCTTAGGCTTAGGTTTAGGTTTAGGCTTAGGCTTAGGCTTAGGTTAGGCTTAGGTTTAAGCTTAGGCGTAGGCTGAGGCTTAGGCTTAGGTTTAGGTTTAGGCTTAGGCTTAGGCTTAGGCTTAGGCTTAGGCTTAGGCTTAGGTTAGGCTTAGGCTTAGGCTTGGACTTAGGTTTAGGCTTAGGCTTAGAGCTAAGGTTCAAGGGCTAAATTTCAAAACCAATGCTGTTTGTGCGAAAGAAATGTTTAAGTTAAGATCAGATGTTTTGGTATTAAAGGCACAAATTGATTACTGTAAAAGCTTTAATTATTGCATTTTGTTTTTAGGTTTTAAGGCTTAGCTTGAGCTTTATATTCAGCCTGAAATATTGTTTCTTTACCAAAAGACAAAGTCGTTCAACTTCATCTCTTGTCAAGTCAAACTCCCTGAATCAATCCTATTTTTACAATCTTCTCGTGATTTTTGCGCCGTTTTTATTTTGACTTTCAGCCTGAGTGATCGGTGTTTTCTTTTAGGAATGATCGATTAGAAAAACGATCGTTTTTCTCTAATTTGATTGATGAAGGCGCTTTTCGGGGAACCATCAAAGTCCAGTGTGAAAAACTTGGTTTCCTTGGATAATTACTAATCTTATAAAAGTAACTTATTTGAATGAACAAATCAATGAGTTTTCTTACAACTCTTTTTAATTATTTGTCTTGAAACTTTAGAACAGCCTTAAAATCAAAAAGTTAAGTCAATTTTTGATTTCCAATAGTTTTGATTTTCTTTTCTTTTTGGTTTTAGTACTAAATGGTGAGAAAACAAATTTTCATAGTTTTTAAAAAACTTTGCTGTTCAAAGAAAAAATTTACATTTATTAATCCTCTAAAGATCCAAGCCCACCAATTTCTGCCAATTCCACGCAAATCGAATCTCTGTACTCATAAAATGCATCCGGATTTCTCTTTTTTTTTCTCCTTTTCCTTTCTTTTTCCTTTATAATCCAGTGACCGTTTGAATGGATGAGGATAACGACCTTGCTCGCCCCGTTTTGTCCTCTCTTTTCTCTTTTCACTATGCCCGAATATCCGAGTGTGGGGAAAACCCAGATTTTCCGCTTTCTGACCGAAATCCCTAACAGCGTTTCTCGTTAAAAATTTGTATCGATTCTAGCCTTGGGCTTTTTTTGTCTGATTATTTTCTTACCGTTCCTATTAGCTTGTTCTTTTGAATGTGTATCAGATTCTCATGGATCTCACAATGATATTAAAGACTTTCTGATTATTTTCTTACTCTTCCTATTAACCTGATCTTTTTAAATGTGTATCAGATTCTCATGGATCTCACAATGGTATTAAAGAACTTTCTGGGTCTACTGATTGTCAGTCTGAGGTCTGCTACTTAGTTAGTAACTGTTTTTGCATTAGTTTTTAATAGTTCTTGTATCAATTTCTCAAATCCTACCTTCAGTAGAATAAATTTTTCTTCACTTTGCTTAAAAAGTGTGCAAAATCTTATGATTAATCGATTTTTGATTACAATCTTTACAATTGATTACAATACAATTGATTACAATCGATCAAAGTCAATAAAAAAACTCATCTTGATCAGTTATTGGCTTTAAATTTAAACTTTTCCAGTCTAAGACAAGTTCGATTAAGTTTTTTATCATCAAATGATTGATTTACCGATATAAAGCAAAAATCACATCTTATTTTGTTTCTTATTCAACTTTTTTTCGCAATCACTCTTTCCTCGTCAAAACAAATTCTCACCAAAATTGACGTTTTTCTCTTTCGCAATTTTCGAATCAAAATTTACACGCCAATTCTTATCAATTTAGCATCATTATTTTCTCAATTTCAATAGCAAATTCCTCGTTTCTTTGCCCGTAACTAGCTTGTGTTTTTTTTTGCAGAACGGAGAAGTGAAAGTCTTGGAAAAAAGAGAAGAACGACCGCATTCCATTTGACGAGAGAAGAAAAGCTTTTCTATTGATCGTAGTGAAGAAAACAGTGCAAAAATTTGGTGAATGCCCGAGGTTGACGCCGAGAATCTCCCGCCGACTGGGAAGGCCACGGTCACTCGGAGATTCGCGCAGAAATGCATGAATCCAAAGGTAAAGATAATTATGCAGAAATGGCAAATGAATGTTTGTCTTGAATGAATGAATTAATGTTCTTAAACTTATTTCCAAAGTTTTTCAAGAATTTGGCTATATACAAAACTTTTTTTACTATTTGAACTTGCTAGTAAACCCGAAGATCAAGGAATTTATTCAAATCCTTTAAGTTATTTATAGTTAACGTTAAAGCCTTCTCAATAAGCCCCTTGAGATGAAAAGGCGAAAAAAGCATCGGCATGGCTATCGGCATGCCTCCAAGCTATCGGCATGGCGCAGTGGTAGAGCGCCGGTCTCTCGCTCTGGCCTCTCCTTCCCGACCATCCGGGTTCAATCCCGGCCTCGGTCTCTTGCAATCTAGAATCAGAATTTTTTGGCAATCTAGAATTAGATTGAAGCGCTCATCTGAAAAAGCAGGATTTCAGCTATAACAGCAGAAGAGCAGAAAAGCTTCAAGTAAAACCAGTTATTTGTTTGATCAGGGTTTCCGAAACAATTCTACAAAATATCTATATTCTCTACAATATATCTACACCTTTTCCAACTTCTAATCTCTGCTCTTTACCTTGACAATCTGAAGTTGATTCTGAACCCTAATGCTTCCAGTTTTCTGCTCAAAATTTTGCTTTTCCTATTTAACAACACACCCCTCAATTAGCTAGAAAATAGCGGAGAATCAAGAAAAAAAGAAAATGAACAGTAAAGCGAAAGTCAAAGGTAAAAAGAAACAAAAAGAAATTGGTGGTGTGGACCGGTAAAGGAACGTGTTTGGTTGAGAGAATCCTCTCCCTTGCCAGCGACAGCCTAATCTCCTCGCATAGGGCTTATTTTTGAGAATAGACCGGTCTGTGCTATTTGGTGCTCTCTAAACCTAAGTTCTCTCGCTTTTCATATTATATCTCCCGTTCTTTATCCCAATCTTCTCTAATGTCTCGATTTTGTTTGTTGTTTTAGCTGTTCTTAGCTAGATTGAGTTTTTGGGTCATTTACAACGTCAATAATAAGTTTATCAATTATCAATCGGTTTCTAAACTTTTCCGATAAGTAGCTTGACGAGAGCTTGACTTCAGATACCTCTCTTTAACCATTTAGCTAGTTATTTTGATCTTCTATCTTCTTCTTATCTATCTATCTTCTTCTAATCTATCTTATTTTGATCTTCTAAATCCTTGAGAATTGCAGGAGTTTAGTTCACAGCTAAAAAGGAAAGGCATTGAGTCAAGTTAGCCTTTCAAGCTTGTTTAGCAACTGCTTCGTTGGTCTAGTTTCTTGGTCCTAAATTTACCTATACTATTGTCTACACCTATTGTCCTTGAGGTTTTTTCGAGTCCTACAGTTTGATAAACGAATGTGCTTTGTTTTTGATCAGATGCTTTTAACAATTTGATATCAAAAGATCAAATTTAGTATTCTAGAAGAAAGGTGTTGCACTTTTAAACCAAAATGGACCATTCCTGGATAGTCTGACCGTCAAAATGGACCATTCTAGTGGATAGTCTGCTAGTCTACCGAACCTGGTACCTTTTTGTTCTCAAGTTCGAGTCCCACTCTCGCCAAACTTAAAACTTAAACGCCAAACTTAAAAAACTATTTCTCTAAGTGTTTGTAATGAATAAACGAGTTGAATTTTATACACAGCTTTCTGTAATTTTCAGAAATTGACAATAAAGGTTAGATTTTTCATACTTATCTATTGATTCTGATACTTTGGAAGGTTCCAGCTTTTGTATTTGTTTCAGCTTTTATTTAGCGGGGAATCAATGCAATAATTCAATGCAAATACGTAAGAAAACTATTTTTTTAAAAAACAACAAAGTTTGACGAGAGTAGGACTCGAACTTGAGGAGCAAAAGTGCAATAAGTTCGGTAGACTAGCAGACTATCCACTAGACCACCGAAGAATGATCCATTTTGGTTTAAAAGTGCAACACCTTTCTTCTAGAATACTAAACTTGACCTTTTGATATTAAACTTTTAAAAGAATCTGATCAAAAACAAAGCAAATCCGTTTATCAAACTGTAGGACTCAAAACAAGCTCATGGACAATAGATCTAGACAATAGTATAGGTAAATTTAGGAATCTAATTGTAAGTAGACCGATCAGGGATTTGTTTATATATCCCTTAGGACTATTTCAGCTTAAAAACATCATTCTCAATCTAATCCTTCAATCTTTCCCAGATTCCCTTCATTCTCTCCCCATTATTTCCACCTCTTCCCCTTGTCCTTTCTCTCTCCATCTCCATCTCCATTCACCCAATCCACCTTTTTCTGCAATCCTTTCTTTTTCCTCTCTTCTTTTCCACGAATTGTTTGACACCGGGTCCTCGGCTCTTGCCCGGGAAATATTGTTTGCGCACAGGTTCAACCATCAGCTAACTAGCCTCCATCTATTCATCTAACTCCTCTCTCACCTTAGCCCCATTTTTGTGCCAATCCTAGAGTCAAGATTGCCAACTAGACTATTTATTGACTGTTTTAACAGTCTTCTATCAATTTCCCGATATGGGGCGCCAGGTCGAGTTGCAGGTAAATCAAAAAATACACAAAAAAGAAAGAAATTCTAGAAAAAGCTAGGGAAAACTAGACTTACTTTACCACTAAATTTCAGCGCTATCGGCCGATTGATCCAGACCGAGTGGGCGTCAATGGATCACCGGCAGAGATGACAAATGGTAATGGATGTGTCCAGAATGGAGTCTCCGATCATTTACAATGGGAAAGTGTTAAAGAGCGGGTGATCAAAGCGGGAACTGTGGAAAAGCTTGTGGTGAGTGGTTTAAAGAATAAATTCAACTAATTGATGAACTTGACTTTGTCATGGAGTTAAAATCTGTTCGGTGAGCTCAATTGGAAAGTTTTCAGTGATTGAAAGGGTTTAAATTGTTAAGATTTTGTTTAGATTGATAAGAATTGAATTGTTAAGAGCTTCACCAGAACTCAAGCTTCACCAGAACCAAAATTTCCCCTAGAATCTGTTATAAAAACTAATTTAATGATGCGGAAAGCGTTTTGAATCTAAGAACTTGAGCTTTTCTATCAATTCATCTTCCATAATACTTTACAAATCTTTCTACAACTGCTTTCGTGCTTTCTACAACTCAATTTTCTTGATAAGTGTAAAAATTCGCCTTTTGCTAAGCTAATAACCTTGCTAATTTGGTAATTATAAAGGTAAACTACAATTGTGAGTAAACTCACAATTGTACAACTTTGCCTTTAATACAAATTCTATTTGTCAGCTCAATTCAGATCTCTATTTTCCTATCCCTTTTTTCCTGCTGTATCTGAACAGAATCTCCTATCCAAATTCAACTTTCCTCCATTTTCTCCATTCAATATCTTTCAATATCTTTCTCCATTCAATTCTAGGTCTGTAAACATAGAATTTATGATCCATGTGGGTGAAAAGAATGAACCCGCTCGAAAAAGCTCTCTCCTTTTTCTTTTCTGTTTGGGGAAATGTTCGAATTCCAGTTTTGTGCACAACCAACAGCTTGTTTGAGCCTTGAAGGAAAAAGAACAAAAGAACAAAGCTTTCGAAATGTTTCAAACATGAAATTTTGAAGGTTAAGCTTAGAAATTTTAAATAAAAACAATAACTAAAGCCTTTTCGAATCAATTCAATCATTTTTAGCCATTCAATAGACTAGAATTTGGTTTACAAGTTGAAATAATGTTCCTTTAAAGTATTCCATTTTTTAAAAAGCGGAAAAGTACCGTAATGACAACTAGTTTTCACTCATTTACCAAATTTTCATGTTTTTAACAATTTCAATGTCTGAGCCATGCGATTTCTCATCAAATCTAGTCAAAACTGGGACTGAAAACTGGTTGTTTGAGGGAAACTGGTTGTTTGAGGTCTAAAATAAGTACCTTTTAGAAAACGAAAGCAATTAGACTTATAAATATCTATTTATGTTTAAAAAGGTATTTGTATAGTACAATTTGAATAGTACAATTTTAATACTACAAACTATTAGGTTGGTGGGAAAATAATCGAAATTTGGAGCCTCTAACTTCAAGCCCAAAACTAAAAGCCAATAACAAATGAATTTATTCAAAGTAAAAACCATCAGCATCTATCAATGACGCAAAAGGACTCTTAAAATCAAAGACAAAGTTTGAGTCTTGTTTATTTCGATTATTTTCCCACCAACCTAATATTTCCTCAGATCAACCCACTAATCAGCGCAATCCCCAACTGCTAACCCAGACAATTTGTCTCTTTCAAATCTTTTCAATCACCACAAAATTCCCACACAACCAGATTTGTCAATTGAGAGTGATTGGCTGTGTTTGTGATCACAATTGACAGGAAAAAGCTGACTGATTTGAATGAATGAAATGCCTCTTTGTAAGCATTGTCATCATCAATTTCTCTTCTCATTCATTTTCTTTCTCTCAAAATTTTACGAGCTTTTCTCTCGGGATTTTGATTGCGAGAAAAATGGGATTGGAATTTCAAAAATTAAGGGCATTTTGAGGGAGAAACACCGGGAAAAGCTTGTTTTCTTGGAAAACTTAAAGTCTTGCAGAAGCTTGGGATTAATAGTACTTGAAAACTCTTTAACACATTGACGATCGCGCATCTTTTCGACCTCGCGCATCGGCGAAACGACCGCTTTTTGGACCAGGGATCAAAATGCATCAGCAAATACCAGAAATTTGAACATAAGGGCTTAAAAGACTCTAGAATTTGAATCCGGCCTTAAATTTAGGCTAACAAACTTTAATATAGCTCATTTTCACATTTTTAATTACCGTAAATGCTGTATTAGAATGAAATTTCATTCTATTTTTCAAACCCTTAAAATCGTTTGATCGAAAAAGTAGGTAAGGAAAAATTTAGATGACCCTATCTGATTAAATTTGTTCCCCTATCTCTCTAAATTTGGTTCCCTATCTCTCTAAATTTGGTTCACATGAAACAAAAATTTAGAATTCGCTAAAAACTATTTTAAACGATTTTCCTTTATCCAAAACGTACAAAAACAAATCCAAAAACACGTTTAAAAGTGAAATTATTTTCTTATTCATGATCCCCTTTGAATCTCCAAAAAAAAAAATCCATGTAGGGGAGCCTTATGATTTTTTCAAGAAATTATTTTACATTTTTTTCAAAAATAGCGTTTTAAATTTTAATACCGATCAAATATTAGTAGGTTTATTTGTTTTATAGGGTTAGATCTATCCATAGAACCTCCACAACGGGGATCTAAAGTCAAGATTTCGAGGGGTCAGAGGAGGATTCTATTAGAGGGTGTCATTCTAATACAGCATTTACGATACTTTATTTTATACGCTAATTTCTAGTAGTTAACTTCTTGATGGATATATGCTATATGTTCCCGAGCCGGAATTTCCTTTAGAATTGTTTTGAGCCTTTAAAAATTGATTACCTTAGATAAAGGGGATTTTTTGAAGCCGGTTTAATTACCCAAGTTCTGATCCTATATCCTCATTCTGGTGGAAACAGCCCAGCCACGATCAGCGGATTTGAAATGCTAATATACTCCGCCATAAATGGGAAGAGTCTAATACCACCTAAGCTAGTCGAAGGAAGGACTGCACTAATTCCTAAGGTGAAGGACCCTAAAGACGCAGGCTCCTTCCGACCTATCGCCATATTGAACACGCAATTCAAGTTACTGACCGGAGTGATTGCACGAGTGATCACCGAGAAATACAACGGGAACAGGTACGCCTTCCCAGAAGAACAGCTAGCTGTGAGAACGGGTGTGAAAGGATGCGAGACAGCCCATCTGACCGAGATCGATACTCACTGACGCCCACTTCCGAAAGAAAAACGGCGAAGCTGCGTTAATAGAAGCATGGGTGGATTTCTCAAAGGTATTCGATAGTGTGAGCCATGGATACTTGAAATGGCTGCTACGCGATGCTCCACCCGGGATCCAGAAATTAATCAGGCACATACTTGATTGCGAGAGGACCGAACTAACAATTGGACTAACAAACAACAGAATAGACCCAAAATTACATGATCTTGCAAAATTTGAGCTCATTTGGTCCAGCAATTCACGAGAAACAGCCGTGACTCAGCATTGAGTCACGTGGTCCGAACCGGTAGCCAAGCGTGACTCAGCATTGAGTCACGCGATCGTCTATGTGTTAAAGCTTGATCATACGTGTAGGGCTATATTTTATTGACAAAAACAGGTTGATCTTTATCATTGAGATGCGAGTTTCTTTGAGTTAGCCTGAAGCAACTGCGCTAGCAGCTTGATTCGCTTGGGTGGCGTTGACGGTTATGTTGCAGCCGCATTGGAGCGATTTGGTCATGCAGGCAACCTGGAAACGAGAAATTGTAAAAGCTAAAATTTTTGCCCTAGCTCTTATCTTAGTTAGAAATTGTAATACAATCCGATTAAATCTCTGAATAGCTTGAAGAATCTCTGGATAGCGTGAAGAACTAACCGTCGAAACATCTCTGTAGTGTTGGTACAATCCAAAGTAGTGGGGCACATACTTATCGTAAAGATTCGTCAACACTGCGACTCTTGTTCTTGCTTTGATGTTCTGAAAAGATAACCTATTAGATGTTTCTTGTAATGTAAAGCACTTAATTAACGCACATATTGTTAAACTTCTTTCTATGTTAATAGATAAGTCAGACTTTGAAGAACGATGCAATTTTCCTCACCTCAAAGCATTTTCCAACGGTCGCCGTTGACACATAATTGACACAAAGCACGCAAACTTGATTTTGAATAGTTGTATAGTTGGCCTTATTAGAGATCCATGCCTTGTAGATGGGTACAAGCTGAAAATAGGATTAAAATGAAGAGTGAAAAACTGGAGAAGGCCAACCAGAGGCCAACCAACCGACCATACACATTCAAGTACAGATACTGTACTTAAATGCTGCAACTACTTAGTTGATTCTTGCAAACTTATACCCCATTATTATAAGCAGCTTGTAGACAAGACATCGCTCCACATGTAGCACCGTTAGCTATCTCGTCGAGATTGTAATTGTTCATCTAGAGTAAAAATATAAGTGATGGTTCTCTAACAGACACAGTTTTGGGTTTCTATATAAGGTATACTTGCTTTATAAAGCGCTTAAATAGCGCAAGGAAGCGCAAGGAAGCGCAGGCGGCGCAAGGAACACTAGAGGATGTTCCTTACGAGTAAGTAGCTCGAGGGAAATTTGCATGAGTAATTTTTACTCGCTTAATCGAGAGCTGGTCAAAACAGGGTCATGTACAAGCAGTGCCACGGCAAAAAGAGCCCGCGGTTAAATTTCTGTGTTTCTTATTAAATGTAGAATTAAATTATCTACATTTTGTATACTTTGGGATCACTTAAAGCAGAATTTCTCAGTTAAAAGCTCAGTTAACCTCTTTTTGAGTGCTTTTTCGGTTTTTTTTTGGCATTTTCTCATCCCAGATTTGTTCTAAACGGCTCCAAAAAATAGCAAAAATCAGCAAATAGCTAATTTTTGGTTCTACATTCAATAAAAATAAGAAACACAAATAAATTGAACCACAAACGCATTATTTTGGCCGGCGCTGTTTGTGCACGGCGCTATTTTGTTCAGCTCTCGATTAATTCATGTTTTTGGTCGAGTAACTACGAGTAATCCTCTTTGCACGACAAGTAAATTGAATATCTTTACATTTGAAGGGATTTGTGAGGAACACTCTCTATTAGCAACCGAATTCAATGAACCCACTACAAGCATGATCTGAGCGGCATCCGAGGCCACAGTGCCCGCTGTTGCCTGATTGTATTGACCAACGCAAGCGATCAACTCGTTTAAGTGGCTGGATACGTAGTCCTTGATGGCTGAAGTCTTAGATTTTTGTACAATTCTTCAACAAAGCCAAGTTTAGTCCATAGATTTTGCTATTTAAGTTACCATTTCCAATTTCGCACATCGTTGGCACAGCATTGTTACCGGCTGTGGTACGATTCTTGATCCATTGCTCTACATAGACCCCAATGAAGTTAGCAAACTAGAAAATTGCTCATTCATTCATTCATTTACATTCAAAAGTTTGTCACTTACTCCGTACATCACTTTTGGATCAAGAACGGTTGTCTTGTTAATCTGGGCGATGATCCTCGAGAAACAAGTCCCACACTTGACTGGGATTTTCCCGCCGACAGGGGCCGGACAAGGGGCACTTGTTGATGCCGCTGCCACTTCCGGCACAAGCCCATAGATTAGCAATGCGGCCACAATGAAGATCATTTCAGTGCTGGAATTTCGAGTATCGTATTTTCCCTAGTACCCAAAGCTTCCCCTAAATTGCTCGAAATCTCGAGGACCGCTTATCAGAACCTATCGATGTGGGGAAAATGTAGCTAACGATGAGATCTTGCGGGGGATTAGAGTGTTGAGCTTCTGGAAAACTTGGAAGCTTTAAAATAGCCATCAACTCGGCTCGGCCGAATGCATTACTATTAGGGATTAGACTTTGGTAGTATTGTGTTCAATATTAATCTTTGATTTAAAGGCTTTCAGAACGAAGAATGGTATTAGAGATAAGTTTTGGGTTTTAGTCTTTGTTTAGATCTTCTGAATCTGATACTGGGAAGAAAATGATAGGAAAATAGTTTACTAATCTCATTCTTAAAGAAAGCTTATCAAATACAGCATATCATAAAAGCTTAGCTTATCAAAAAAGCTTATCAAAAGCTTATCAAAAAGCTTATCAAAAAGCAAATATAGTTAGCAAACTTTAGTTTAAAGATTAGCAAAGAGAATTCGTGAAAAGAACATGAAAAAAACAAAAAAACTATCACAAAACGTGAGTTAACATATTTATTTGAGATTTACAACTATTAGAGCTGTGAAATTAGATCAGAGAATCGGGGATTCGTTGGATTTTTAGCGTTTTATAGTTGCTTGATCCCTTGACGACCACAATTCGATCTCCACGTAGTTCTCGATCCCTTTTCCCTTCCCCAATGCACTCCACACCCAATTAAAAGTCCCAATCGCTCATCAATTTCACTCAACCATTGAGCATTTTTGCAGAATTCAAACCTTAAATGGAGAAAGAGACTAGGGAGGTTGGGTCGATTGGAAAACAACAGACCAATTCCTGATCAGTAATAAGCTGTGATTTGTGCTCAAAACAGAGATTGATTCAAATCATCAAATTTTAAACCGAGATTCAGGAATGCTTGATCGGTCCGGATGACTTGATGGACTCAAGGCATTTCAACGTGTTCTTCGCCACTTTTCGTGCCTTTGCCCAGCCGGTTGATGTGCTTGATCGAATGTTGAGGAGGTTGGTTAGTAGAGTAATAAGAAAATGTCTGCCTTGAGCTTTTCATTGATTACTTAAATGGGGATATAGTTTAAAAAACGTCGAATAGAAAACGTTTAAAACAGCGCCGTCAGATTTCACAATCCAAAAGCCAAGCCAATTCAAGTTTTATACCAAAAAATTTCTTGCATTCTTGGCTACATAATGGGTAAAACGGTTTTTTAAAAAAGTTAATAATTAATAGATAAAATTAGCGTTTAAAATATGTGTCGAGTTGTTTAACTGAATATCTTTAGAGGTCCGTTTTGAGCGCTCTTTTGGAGTAGGCTAGTTTCCGCAACTTTTTTGCGCAACAGGGCATTTGCATAACTGGGTCGTTTGCTCAACTCACCATAACTTTCTTCTAAGTGGACCATTCTTTATGATGTTGGTTTAATTTTGTTGCACTTATTGAGATCTACAAAATGAAACCAAAATCATAAAGATTGATACACCTAGAAGAAAGTTATGGCGTCCTTTGCTGGGTCATTTGCGCAACTAGGTAGCTACTTTGCGCGGCTACCTTTGGGCAACTCGCCATAACTTCCTTCTAAGTGGGCCAATCTTTATGATGTTGGTTTCATTTTGTAGATCTCAATAAATGCAACAAAATGAAACCAAAATCATAAAGATTGGTCCGCTTAGAAGGAACTTATGGCAAGTTGCGCAAATGGCCCTGTTGCGCAAAAAAAATTCTGGAAACTAGCCTACCCCCTCTTTTTATTTATTAAATCAACTTTTTTATAAAAAACTGTTTCACGCATGTAGCCAAGAATGCCAGAAATTTTTTAACATAAGACTTGAACCGGCTTGGTTTTTTGGATTGTGAGAAATTTGGCGGTTTTGATGTTTTGAACGTTTTCTATTATGGTGCTGTTTTAACTACATCTCCTTAAATGACTTGTAGCACTTGTGTATAGATATTCTGCAGTTGCTTGTTTAATATCGATACTAAGATTGGTTAGTACTAGCTCTACTAAGATTGGTTAGTATCTAGCTCTGAAGGTATTCCTAAAGAACGGTATGCCTAAAGAAAAATTGAGTAGTTTTATTTTTCTTGTAGTACTTCTTTTATTTTTCAACCCTACTTCGGTAATCTATTATAATTTCTACTTTTTAGATATGAATCCCTAGAATGCGACTCCGCCGGCAGCACCTCGGCCTTGGTCATCCAAAAGTAAGATCTACAACTATTTCTGTTACAAACTCCATTAAAAGTCTGAGCTCTTTTAATTCAATCCATTTGCAGCTCGATTCGCTCGGTGCTGATCTGTTGGATGGACATGTACCCAGAGGATTTCTACTCCATCGAAACAGACTTTGCCATGCTCACAAATCTATTGGACTTTGGTAAGCGCTTAGAATAGATTTTTTTTTGCTACTTTCTATAAACTATAGTACTGTTTAATGTTTAGTTTTTAGTATAATTTAGTATTGTTAGTATTGTTAGTGTTGTTAGTGTTGTTAGTGTTGTTAGTGTTGTTAATATTGTTGTACAGTTTTTATTCTTGTTGAATGTTCAGGTTTAAAACACAAAATGCCCGATGTGAGAGCAAAAGCGAGAATTTTACGTGAAAAATTCAAGAAAATCGCGAGTCAAGGAGGAATGATTGGTAAATTTTTGGTTTAATGATTAAAATTGAATAGCTAATCTTTGGCAAAATTAAAAATTCAGACCGTTTCGGAAGTTTATCCTTGGAAGAATTCTTAGAGCTTTACAAGTTCCATTTATCAGATGGTTTACTGTTAGGTTTGAAGTAGCTAGATATGCTGAAACAATCGCTTTCAAGCTATAGTTAGATATAGAAATAGTTTCTTCGTTTTTTAAAGTCTCAAAGTTTCAAAGTTTCAGCCGCTCTTCCATCACTGGATCAACTCGCTTATGCATTTGGATATGAGCACGCGGATTATGTGAACAATGCAAGGGAACGGGCGAAGATGTTCGATGTTGGAAGGGGAAATTGCGTACAAATTGCTGAGCAACTCACCTTTTGGGATGCGGTGAGTTTTTGTAATTAAGGGATTTATATATGGGTTTTTTTCTAGATTTAGGGTTTAGCAGTTGTTCTTTTGCATTGCTTGTACCAAATTATTTGTGTGAATAACTGTATTTTTAAAAATATTCCCCTATTTGACAAACATCTCCTCATTTAGGCTCTCTTCAAAGAGTTGCTCACTCATCAATGTCAGGGTTGTATGTGGTCAAAGAGGGAAAAGGTGAAACCGGACAAAGTTTACACTGTAAAGGCCACGATAGATCAGGTATCGATCAAACTAGAATCTGTCTGAATTCTCTGTTTTTAGTTTAATGCGGTTTCTCGGCGCGTGATGACCTCGATTGTTTTGCCCGATTGTCGACCGGATTTTCGGGCAAAGATCATCGCGAAATGGATCGATATTGCCAGGGTTAATTTTGTGTAAAGCTAAAAATATCGTAAACATCATTATAATATAAACAAAACAAACAGAAAATAAGATAGTTATGTTACATTGCTTTCGGTAGCTTCAAAACTGTTTAACTGTTTTGACAATTCATGGAAATGGAACGTGAGAAAAGGAAAGATTTAGGCTATAGCTTAAAAATTCGATACTTAATTCTCATAATCGAATTTCATTTTAGAACTTAATAACCAATAATACCATATCAAATCATATCAAATACAATTTTTTCAGGAGTTGAGAGCCTTGAAGAACTTCTCTTCATTGAAAGCTGTGATTTCTTCGCTTCAGTCAGAGCCAGTTCATCGATTAAAAAGCACATGGGCTTTGGTGCCAAGGTGAAGAACATTGAATTTGATATTGCCAACAATTGTCTATTTCAGCCGTTCTTTGACCCAATTCCGTGAGCTGGCCTCGATTTTCGCTACCGATGTCGATGGGGATGAGCAGAACGCTCGTCGAATATTGGATGAGGTTGGTAGATTTGTTGATAATATCATATCCTAAGACAATACCGTTATTTTTTAGTTTCTTTATGGTTTGCTTTTATTTGTTGATTTATTTCTTACCTATTTTCTTTTGCAGGAGGGTACGGCTAAATCGTCACCCCTGCGAAGACCTCAATTGATTCAGAATTGTCGCCGAACAAAAAGTGATGTGAATTTGGCTGAATGCCAAGGAACTGTGAGTTAAAAAAAGCTTTTATTGGTTTTAGCATATTTGATTTTGGAACTAAATAAATGATAAAATTTGATTTTATGGAGAATTTAGGTTCCTTACCTTGGCTCTTTCTTGACGGATTTGACAATGATCGATCAAGCGGCTTCAGATTATACAGAAGGTAGGATTTAAGGGATATTGTTAACTTTTATTGGTAAACTTTGTTCTATAGGGTGCGGTCAAAGTATGGAAACTAAAGCTATTCGGCCTAACTCAGTTCTCGATGCCTCAAATCAAATAATTCTTTTTTTGCGACTACATTCTGAGTTACTTACTCTAGGAAAAACGTTATTGAACAAAGGGGTACTTTCCTGTTATATTCACTACCTACAGCTATGCTATTTGCAACAAAGTTTACATACAACAAAGTCTGAAATATGTAAAAGCGTTACCAAAAAAACTAGATTGATGAAATTGAGCTTTTTGAAGACTTGAAACATTTCCATTCGGGTCAATTCAGGATCTTTAAACTGTTCATCTCTATTCTATGAGATTCCCTGAATCATTTGATTGTTTAGTAGATCAATAATGCAGTCTGAAATGTATAAAGGCGTTATCAAAAGGACTATATTGGTGAATTTGAGCTTTTTCAAAGACTTGGAATATTTTAAGGAATTTGAGACCGAAAAATAAAAAGATGGTAGTGGCTATGAAAGTGCCAACAAAGGCAACTGTTTCCTAAAAGTTCAGATAATCATTCAAAGTGCGCGCGTTGGGAATGCTCGGCCGATTTTCTTAGGTTAGATAGAAATTTCCGCAAGAAAAGAACCGTTTCTTTGATTGAATTTCAATGTTTTATGAATACTTCTTGAAGATGTTCATATTTTTGGGCAATAAATATAATCATAAATAGAATCTTAGAACAATTTATAGGTTCGACCGGGTATTCCCGAAGCGCGCACTTTAAATAATTATCAGAACTTTTAGGAAACAGCTGTCTTTGTCCAATAATGTTTTTCCTAGAGCAAGTGACTCAGAATATACTAGCAAAATAGAGTTATTTAAAAAGAACTAAGTTAGACTCAATAAATCGATCAAGTTGCCATAATTCTGCCGCACTTTGTAGAGTGTTACAATCTTAAATAGAATGATTTAAGAATTGATTTCAGAAGGATTGATCAACTTCGACAAACGGCGTCGAGAGTTCGAGGTGTTGGCCAAGTTGAGGCTATTCCAATCAGCCGCTCGAGCCTACAAAATCCCGATGGATCGAGAGTTCTGTGCTTGGTTCTTCTATTTGCCTTGCTTGTCGGAAGATGATTGGTCAGTTTTGCAATATTTATCAACAAATAATCCAGACCTGGAGCTGATATCGATCTTTTTCTTGTAGAGTAACTTCTTAGCTTTTTGCTCCTGAACATATCAAAGGCCTACGAGGTTTTAGATTAGTTTTAGCTTTAGATCTTTAGATAAGATTCTTTTTAGCAGCTAACAACTTATAGTTAGCATTTTAGCCATAGAAAAACAAACTGGAGTCAAAACTGATTCCAATTTTAGCTTCCAACGCTCAATGGAGATCGAGAGACCCCCAGCAATCTCCACTCCAGATTTGAATTCGAGAAATCACAATCTATCAAGTGTGAACAGTTCAAGCTCAAATATGAATAAAAGGTAATAATAGGATTGCTGAATTTTCAAATAAACTCTTTAGTAACACTTTGTCACGACTGTTCAACAATTCGAGGACAAGCGAGGACAATCATTCGGTGAGTGATGGAATAAATTGATGAAGTTTCTAAATCAAAAATGTAAATAAGTCAAGTTTATGTGGAAATTTCAGATTTCTGGTAGTGGCACGCCGTTGATGGGTCAAAATTCGAGAGATTCTGGAATCCACAATGACGATTGGACTGATGGAGGGAGTGGAACACCGGCAATGTCAAGGTTTGGCGATTCTTATCTCAGCTCTTAAAGTTAACTAGTTTTTCTAGAGATTCTAGAGCTTATATCAGCCAGCCAAGCCATTTGTGGGACTGGTTTGGGTTTTTCTTTCGGTAAATTTTCATCTAGTTGGTTGTTTTCTTGGAGCACTTGTATAATAGAGAACTTGGCACCTTTGGCTTTATCAATTGCCTTCTAAAGCTTATCGGATTGATAGTTGTGTCTTAAAAATGAAGTATCTGATCTAAAACATATAACTTTGCCGAAAAGCGATCCTCATTTGAGAGTTTTTCAACTTCAACAGATAAAATTTAAACTTATTTCTGCACAATTATTCTACTTCTACTTGTTAGCAAGAGCCTTATCCGCTAGATTCTAATAAATCTATCAAACATTTTCAGAATGGCCGACTCGGGTCATCCAACCTCTTCATCAACCGCTCCATCCACTCCCGCATCGACGATTTCGGGTAAAGCCGGCCGCAGCATTTTCTATCACACCCCACCGCATATTGGTATGCACTTTTCTGGACACATTTTATGGGCCAAACTTTTGGGGTACTTACTTTAACTAGGTCTGCTAGGTGTTTCGGTTCTTCATAAGCCTTTCATAAGGATTTTCAAATCCAAGAGCTATCTGGGGCATGGATTTTTTAAACATCAGGTACGTCCAGGTCGAACAAGTCAAGGGCAACCCTTGGAATCAAGTCAACCGACAAGTCCATTTGACTTACTATCCCTAAAATTGAAGCTTTGGGGTTAAAAATTGTCATTCTATTTGGGTTATCGGACATTTGATACTCGCCCCCTCCGCAATTCAACTTTGAGCTCAAATATCTTGGTGTTGGGCTTTCCAGTTTCAATATTCTTGGTATCATTGGATTCGGCAAGTCTTTCTCTGTCGATTGGTATAAAAACTATTTAAATTGAACAGCTCAATGCCAAGAAATTTAAGCTCAAAGTTAGATTGCCAATGGTAAAGGGGCGGGGCTTATCAAATGCTCCAAACTTTTCTATTTCTGAATTAATCTAAGCTTTCAGGGTTTCTTTAGCTTTAACAAAAATCTCTGCTTTTTTCAGTACGTCGGGTTTTTACTTCTTGTATTTCACCGCAAACCCATGAAGGTTAATCTATGTCGGAATGATGAGATGAGAGAAATTACTGTAACGAATGAAATGACAAAGTTCATAAACCAATTCCATTCCAAAAAGTCGCCAAAGCTCGTCATTTCATTCAAACTCTAAGCATGCATGCAGAGATTTTCATTTTTTTTCCATTTTTTGCCAATCTCAAAGCACCCTCAATGTTCAAAATGTTCAAAATGTTTTGTCTTCGTGACATGGAATCGTTACACTAACATTTTCATGTTGAAAACGTGGATTTTCAAATGTTAGCTGTAAATATTACTTGAATTCTAGACCAATGATCTTTTTTTTACTTTCAGGCAGTGAATTCTCACCAATGGCTATGTTCCAGCCACATCAAAGGACCCATTCAAGTGATTCGCATGATCGGGCCAGACTACCGCCTGATTATCCGGTAAAAATTGGATTTTTATTGCTTAAGCATTCTAAAGAACACTTTATTCATTTTTTTTTGTTTTTGAAGTTTTCAATTTATGATTTTGTAGCGCTTGTGGTCACCGAAGATGAAAGTGGGTTTACACTCAGAATAGATTAACCCCCAAAAATATCCCTTTGTACCTCCTTTGTTGTTCGGATATAAAACGAAACTTAAGACAAAAAATGGGCGAAATTATTTTGAACAAAGAAATCATAGTTTATTGAAGTTTAAATTGAGTTGACAAGTGGTTAGTTAGCTTTGGCATAAAGAAATATGTGACTGGAAAATGGCTATCGGTGAGAATTTATAGGCATAAAGAGAAGCATAAAGTTGGCTGTAAAACAGTTTCACTAGGGGATTTGGTATGAGAAAAGTTTGAAAATGAATGAAAATAAAAGGAAAAGGTTATAGCTTTTGATTGATTGGTTAAATGTACCGTAAATCAGTGAAATGTACTCACACTAGTACAGAGAAGGCTATCCAGAAAATCTTTTCGTTACTTTTCTGTTGAAAAATAACAAAATCACCAATTAACCTATGATTTGCTCTAAATAAAAAGGGTTTATTGTTCAATTTCCTATCTTTGTAAGTCAATTTTGGTTCACTTTCAAGCAAATTCGAGAGTTTACGAAGTCTTTTTCGTAAAAATCTATAAAAACCTCTATGAAGAAATTAGCTGAATGAATTTCACTAAAAATTTGGCTATAGACCAAACGTTTTGTGCTCTATCTTTTATCTATTGACACCAAGATAGGTTTCTTTGGATCAAAGTGTCTAAATCGCGAAATCGAATTGTCGCTCTAAGCCTAAGCCTAAGCCCGACCTTCACGCTCCCAAAAAAATCCAGACATAAGACATTTTAAACCCGTTTTAATGTTATTTTGCAGGAAAATGAGTGATCTTTCTAATGAAACAAACAAAGTTCAATTGGTGCATTTGTTGGTTTTAAACGAAAGTACGAAAAGGGACAAAAAGACTTTCTGGAGAGCCCAACATCTTCCCTCTTCCCCCAGCTTCATCCCTTTTTGTAATCCATTCCATCCCCATCTTTTCGTTCTCTAGCACCGCTCAGCCTCATTTGATCGTGGTGTCATTCATCGAGTCTCACATGGAAATCAACTAAATGGACAAATCGGTGCTAGACGGGGAACCCTCCCACCCGGTCTACCCCTTCCTCATCACAATGACGCCTCACAGCGACGCGAACCCACTTCGGTATTTGGGAATGGAGAAGAATGAAGATCACCCCCTAATCTGTCTTTTCTTATTTTAAGCTTGCACATTTTATAATCGTTTTCCATTGTAACAACTTCTCTACAATAACTGTTTGTCAGTTTTTTTTAAGCTAATGTCGTTTCGATTATGGGACTTTTTGTCTAGGGATGGTCTTGTTTTGGGTTAACAGGAGAATTTACGACTTTCTTGAAAATGAATTTTAGGCATCGACCGTGTCTTCTGGATCATCACAATCAAACAATTCCACGCCGACCTTTCATTTGGCGAGAGTTGGATTGGATGATGCGTTGCAGCCGGAAGGAAGTGGGGGTGCCAATTACAAGTGCATTAAGGTGAGAAGGGCAAACGGGCAAACTTTTGTTTTACTTTGGGTTTCCTTTGTAGGGCAAACGGGTAAATTGATTCTTTAAATGTTGAAAAGCTTCTCATCACAATTTTAGGTCGAAAATGGTGATCGAATGCCGGAGTTGATCGAGCGGATTCTTGAGAAACACCTCATTGATGGAGACAAAAGCGAGTTCTGTTTGGTGCAACTTTTGGAAAATGGAGGTGAGACTTTTTTATGCAATAAAAGGAATCAAATCCAATCTTGTCCTAGGGTCACTAATACTAGCTCAAAAAAGTGCTATTTCCAGAGCTTGATCTGGCCGATTTATTAGAGATATTCTATTAGGCTGGCACGTAATTCCGGATATTCTTTTACATATTCTTGATATTATACGTAATTCTTTTACAAATCTGTTTAGAAATTTACACAAATTAACCTCCGATTTGTTTCATTAGAAAAGCTTTTTACCGTTTTTCTAGAAAATAGCTATAAACACATGTAAATGTTTTGTGTTTGAACGTTTTTTCGGATCAGTCAATGTCTTTATAGGAATTTTTATCAAAACAAGGTTTTTTTTGCTTTGAAACAGATCCAAATTGGCTTAAAAAGATAAAAAAGGGACAAACATAGGTATATAACAAGATTAACTGATGAATTTGTCATTTCTAAACAGATTTCTAAACAGATTTCTAAGCAAGTGTTATCAAGAATTACGTTTACTAATAATACTTTTAGTTAATGATTCAAAATTCAATCCATAAAATGGATTGAATCCAACTCCATCCATTCCATAAAATTTTAAATGGCTTTAGGCGAATTCCAATTGCCCGACAAATGCAATCCATTCTACGCGATGGCTCCCGACAAATCCCATATGTTCAATTTGATTCTAAGACGGAGAAAGGAGTTGGATGGTGAGTTTCCCTCATTTGAAAACTTCTCAAATGTTCTATCAATTCTTCAGGCACCATAAAGATTCGATTCTAGCCACTCAAAAGCATGGTGTGGTGATTTACAAATGAAAATCTTTTAACCTTTTCTAACCCCAAAAAAAAAAAATAAAACCCATTGTTGTAATGTAGCTTTATCCTCAGTTTCTCCTATGGGATTTGTTGGTTTAGATTAGAAATTAGCACTGAAAGCACTTTTAATGCAATTTAACCAACAATTTTCATAACTTCTTGTGTTATTTGAGTCTCTTATGAACTTGTTTGTCAAAATGTCAAAGGGTTTTTTTTGAGATCAATAAACTTTCAAGATCTGACAGATTGTAGGAATCTGGTTTTGATTGAATACTATTCAAAAAATCATTCAAAACCATTTTCATTCATCGGATCAGTTACAAAAGTTTGATTTCGAAATTTCCTTTGAAATTTCGACACTCAAGTTCATTCTCTCATCTGAGTTTTTCTAATCTTGGGACTAAACCTATTGTAATCTTTTAATAAATACAAATTTTAGGTGGCTCTCAATCACCGGCGTTAGGTCCATCGGCGAAGAAATTAAACAAAATGAAGAGGAGCAACCTGTTGAGATGGAGTAGTGGATATTTATAGTCAATGATTATGATCGAATTTGTAAAATTTGAGAAATCGAGGTGTACTTTATGCTCAAACTTGTAAACGCATCTTTTCTAGTTCACTCAATTCTTGGAGGTTTGCACAAATCGTCTAGGATTTACTTTGAAAAGATTGTGGAGCATTTAATACGCGCCCTGGCATTGGCAATCCAACTTTGAGCTCAAATTCCTTGGTGCTGGGCTGTCCAATTTAAATAGCTTTTGTACTAATCGACTGAAAAAGGCTTGGTGCATCTAATGATACTAAGCATATGGAAATTGAACAGCCCAACACCAAGATATTTGAGTTCAAAGTTAGATTGCCAATGGCAAAAGGGGCGGGGCTTATGAGATGTCCGATAACCTTGAAAAAATGAATGCTCAAGTGCACAGAAAGTATGCGTTTCCAAATTTTAGCCCAAAGTACACTAAAAGTCAATGTAACTATCATTCTCTATTCAATTCTCTGAAAATTTCCCCTATTTTTCAAAGTTTATCTCCTCTTACGGGTTTCGCTGCCTCAAAAAAAAGTGTTTTCATATGCTAACTTCTGTGTGATATGCAAATTTACGACTCTTTTCATATCTCTGTTTTACTTATTTTGTGAAATTTGTGTGCTCGAATCTTTCATTTTTCATTTTTCGCCTTAGTCACTGTGTTTTTGCTCAGAATTCTGTAATTTCTACCCATTTTTTTTCTTTTCAAAGTTTTCTGATGATCAGGCATCGACGGGTTTGTTTTGCTTCACCGCTTACGCACCATTTCTCCTTAAATAATAAACACTTTCACATTTTCATTTTGGCAATAGCTTCTCCCAAAAATTTTCTACTTATTGACACTGATTGGTACAAAAATAAAATGTTTTTAGTTAAATAATCAAAAGAAAGCGCAAAAAAAACCGTAACCCACTACACTACAGTAAAAAGGGAAATTGAACATTTTATTGTAACATTAGATGCAGCAGATGATTGTAGAGATTTTATCATGATACAGTACTGGACAATGAAATATCATATTTGAAAAATGATCGTCACGTTCGCACGTCTGTAACTTCTTTGTCTTTGAGTTTAAACTATTAGTGTTATACATTTTCTGAAAGCTCTTTTCAGGGGCTACACAATGGTAATATTAATATTTAGAAATACGGTAAAGACAAGGGAGTTACAGACGTCCGAAAGTGACGATCGTTTTTCAAATATGATATTTCATTGTCCAGTACTGTACATTACATGTTATTGAGTGTTTCTAGAAATAGATGAGCTAATTCAATCCTAAATCTGGATCAAATCCATCATAAAATGAGGTATTAAAAGATGAAATCAGATCATTTCAATATTAAGCATTTCAGTTAGTTAGTGGCTCTAGAATTTGTAGCAAAAATGCAGTCAAATTTGAAGTAAAAATTGGTCCCTAAAATTTGGGCATTGAAGGGAACCGCGTAAAAAGAAATTTACGCAAATTCGATAAATAGATTTAAAATCCTCTAAATTCAGCTTTCCTTTTTCAGAAAACTGAAAACTTACACAAGTTCTAGGGAAAATAAGCTGCAAAATGGGAATGGCCCGGTGAGAATGGTCCTGTGAGAATGGCCCCGATGAGGATGGCTGGATGAGGATAGCCCGATGAGGATGGCCCGATGAGAATGACCCGATGAGGATGGCCCGATGAGAATGGCCCGATGAGGATGGCCCGATGAGGATAGCCCGGTGAGAATGGCCCGATGAGAATAGCCACTTTTTTCAAATAGGAGACGATTCCTGAAGTCTTGTTGAATTTACGCAATGCTTAGCAAAGATCGCATAGAATGCATTACTGTATTTTAAAACATTTCTGTTTGCATCAGAAGTTCTGACCAGTTTTGAAAGATCCGTTTATTGCCGGACAAACTTGCCGCCTATTCTCACAATTTCACCGATTCCCAGTCTATAAATCACAAAAAAGCATAAAATCTGTGCAAAACATTTTGGATTTGCAAAGTAATGAGAATTTTGCTTTTGTCGTTTATAGAAAAATGGTTTGTTTGATTTTTTGCTTGTTTCATATTGTAATCAATGTAATCAGAGCTTGGCTGTACTTTTAAAACAATTGATCAACTCTATAAACTTTAAAATATCACAAAAGGAAAGTTTTTAGAATTTCTATGAATTGTTTCAATAGTTAAAAGTGAAATAATAGAATGAGATACGAATCGAATATAAAAATACGTTTTATAATCAAATTGGGGTCAAGATGGGCAGCTAAAGTCGATGAAATCTCATACAGAACTAGGATGATTCAGAAATGATGATTTTGGTTAACATTACAGACAATTAACATTACAGACAACTTCAAGATCAATACAGTAAAAGAAAAATCAGAAATTTGGCACATAAGTCAATGAAAGCTTTCGATCTTCTCCTTTGAGGCAGCAGGTTTTGACGAGAGCCGCTGTTACATTGTAAGGATCACAATTGGATGAAGGACGACGATCCTCAAAGTAACCCTGAAAAGAATTTTATAATATTTTGAAGTTGCAAAGTAATGAGAATTTTGCTTTCGACGTCTATAAGAAAAAGATTTTGTTTTAGAATGATCATTTTCGTGTTCTAGGTTCTGTAAGCCAGGCAAGATCTTGCTTGTCAATTATGCTAACGTGGCTCCTCTTGGTGCTTCTTTGCGTTATCTTTTCTATTGAGTTTTCATAAATATTGAATATCATGTACAATGTAAGAAGTTGGGTTAAGTCAACCATTTCTTTTAAAGTCTCCTATGCACTGATGGAGTTTGAATAATTTACGGTCTAGGAGACTCGGCACGATTGGCGATTATATTTGTGGTCTTGGCCTGACGAGTGGGCTTCTATTCAGTGGATATGGTGTGCTCAAGGTCTCATTTGGTGACTCTTCTGTTGATCTCTTCAATCATTTCGCTTTTCTCGAGCTGCTCGCGATCCCTTGTGGGATTTGGGCGATCGGGAGATCGATTTATTGGCTATTTGATCGAACTCTCCATTCGCAAAGGACCACCAGCAAAGAAACTTTGCCCTCATGGCTCACGATCACTACATTTCTCGCATCTTTTGGCATTTCGTCAAAGTCATTGATTCTACGATTGCCCTCAAATTGGGACCCACTATTATCGGCTGTCTATCAGTTTCGTGTTCTAGGTTCTGTAAGCCAGGCAAGATCTTGCTTGTCCCAAAATTATGCTAACGTGGCTCCTCTTGGTGCTTCTTTGCGTTATCTTTTCAATCTTTTTGTTATTGAATTACTCATTTACTCATTTTTCTCATTTTTAGACATAAAGTTGAGAAATTTGTCATTATTTGATAAAGATCAACAAGAAAATAAAGCCGCCAATATTTTTGACACTTGTAAGAATAGAAGCACTCATTTTTCGAGTTCAGCGGTTGTATTTTGTTGCTGATGAAGAGGAATAATAGCAGTAAATAGATAATAAATAAATTTTTCTTCAACGGTTACATTGTAAGGATGTAAGGAATCAAAAAAATGAGCAATTTATCATCAAAAAAGTTGAAAAGATAGCGCAGGAAACCATGCAAAATTTAAAAAGAAGTTGTGTCATAATTTTGAGACAGCCGGTAGACATCCGACTAGAATCATGGTTCTGGATCTAGACTTTATAGTATTTTCCTTTTCTATTCTTGTTTTACTAACTTGTTTTACTAACTTTTTTTACTATTTTCCTTCAAATCTAAACGTACACATTGATCATCGAATGTCTGCTTGGGTATCCGAACCGAGCATCCCCGATTTGCCACTCCATACGAGAAAGCGTCGATCGTTTCGGTTTCATGTGCTCCTGTTAGTCTAAATGCAAAATTTAGATAAGTTTTTATAAACTTAGTCATTCATCTTGCAGTAAATTTAAGCATTCTGATTCTAACAGATTAAAAAATATATTTGTTCACCTGGAGAATTGAACCCTTGACCTCCCGACTAAAAAGGGAGGCCTAAGCCTAAGCCTAAGCCTAAGCCCGACTAACCGGCTGAGCCGGTTATGCAACCTATACAACCCGACGCAGAGTTTTATGCTGATTCTGAATATAAATACCGTTTTTGCTAAATAGCAATCTGCCAGAAGTTATGAGCGTCTAAAGTTTTGTGGTCGAAAATGTGGTCATTTAGGTCTTAGTGGGCTCCTTGCGAGTCTGATTCAATGCAGTCGTAGCCGAATGTTACAGCGTTCGTTCCGAGAGTGAGAGGGATCTCACAGGTTCGATCCCCACTTTCCGTTTCTCTTTTGTTTCTTTCAAGAAGCGCTGACTAGTGTTCTTCGCGCATATTTCTTGTTGGAAAAAACATCTTCAAAAATGAAACCAAGTAGCTCAGCCTGTAAGATACAGAACTTTTAGCCAGTCGGTGCAATGTTTCCTATCCTTTACTCACCTTCTTTCATTATCCCGTCCTCCGTGTGGATCGTAGTAAGCAATGTGTTGATGGTGGACCTCCGAGAGCTTCAGAATCGCTTTCTCGATTGCACTAAAGCCAAGACATTGTTTAAGCTTAACTCTATGACTTTCTAGTTAAAACTAACTTATAACCCCCAGGCTCTCTCATCTCTTTGGTGCTGAAGTTGCAGTGACATCCAGCTCCATTCCAATCTCCGAGAATCGGCTTTGGATCCAATGTCGCCACCACACCGAAGTCCTCACAAACTCTATAAGTGAAATTAGATCAATTCTAGCTTGTTTTGCCTTTAAACTGTAAATAGCTTTGAAATGAGCTTACCGATGAAGGATGAATCTTGCAACAATTAGTTGATCGCCGGCCTCAATTCCTTCACAGGGTCCAACTTGGAATTCCCACTGAATCAGAAGTTAAACCACTAAATTTACAGGCTAAACCTGGGCTGGCATTGTCTCAGCATTTGTTCCAGAGATTCGGATTCCAGCGTACATGCCTGAAATATTGTAAGTAATGATTCAAAAGTAAGAAAAGTAAAGTAAATAGGCTTTAGTGAATCGTTGAAAGTTTATAATCTTTATAAGTTTATTCATATAGACAAAACTTTAACAGATAAATTTAAGAATGTTATAAGAAACTTGAGCACTTTAAAACTGATAAGACATGATTTTGTTCTGTCTTTTCAAGACAATTGCTACACTACTGGACAATGAAATATCATATTTGAAAAACGATCGTCACTTTCGCGCGTCTGTAACTCCCTTATCTTTACCATATTTCTAAATATCAATATTACCATTGTGTAGCCCTTGAAAAGAGCTTTCAGAAAATGTATAACACTAATAGTTTAAACTCAAAGACAACGGATTTACAGGCGCGCGAAAGTGACGATCGTTTTTCCAATATGATATCATTATCCAATATCATTGTCCAGTACTGTAGATCATCAAGAACTCACAAGCTCTGTAGTGTGCCTCAACCACTTCTCGTCCATACACTTTATCCGCTCCAACACCACAGTAGTAGGGTCCTAAAGATGAGTAAAGGTAAAGAGGAAATACGTTTCCGAAAATTCACAGTTCCGTTGCAGACAAAGAGTGTGTAAAAGACGATCATGTACCACTTACTGATCATTATTTGTGCGGGGTTCCTTTTTGGCGGATCGACAACGGTGGCACGAATTTTGTGCTCTACAAAAAGGTTCATGCTAGTTTGAAGTTTCGTTTTCAGCTCTACAGGTCCCGAAGTTTTAACATGTACACGGCAAACAACATAAATTTTGATTCACTAATGGATTTGGCTTGAATCGTGAGACATTTGATATACCATTGGCCCTTTGCCATTGGCATAACTTTGAACTCAAATTTCTTGGTGCTGGGGTGTCCAATTTAAATAGTTTTGTACTAATCGACAGAGAAAGACTTGACGCATCTAATGATCTCAAGAATATTGAAATTGAACAGCCGACCACCAACAAATTTGAGCTCAAAGTTAGATTGCCAATGGCAAAATGGACGAGATCAGATGACCTTTCATATGCGCCCCCCTTTGCCATTGGCAATCTAACCTTGAGCGGAAATATCTTGGCGTTGAACTGTCAATGGCAAAAGGGGCGGGGCTTACCAGATAACCGCTCCACGCTCCACCCCTTTTCCATTGGCAATCTAACTTTGAACTCAAATATCTTGATATTGGGCTGTCCAATTTAAATCGTTTTTCTACCAATCGACAGAAAAAGACTTGGTGCATCTAATGATATCAAGAATAATGAAATTGGACAGCCCAATACCAAGAAATTTCAACTCAAAGTTGGATTCTATTGGCAAAAGGGAGGGGCTTATCAAATGTCTGATAACCTTTGGCTTCGGCTCAACAGACTCAAACAATTATAGATAAAGTTCAGTTATAGACAAACGCAATCAAATTATTCACCTTGTGGAGCAGGATATCCCAATTTTGGCCATCCATATGGGTGTCTGTCCAAATCGAGTAGAGTGTACTCTTGCTCGAGACCGAACCACGGAACTTGATCCTTCGCCTTTTCCATGTACTCGAGACATTTCCGGCGATTGTTTGTTGCTGAAATTGAATCGATGAGCTTGTTCTAACTAGGTTTTGGTACTGTCTGGCTGCGTTAAAAAGCAGAACTTTACTCACGTGTTGGCTCATACTGTCGATCGAGTGTCTCACAGAGCACAAGCTTGTTGGGTCCTGGTCGGAAAGGGTCCCTGAAAAGTTTTTAATATTCTTAAAAGCTAGAACATTGGCATAAAGCTTCGTACTTAAGTTTTGACTATTAGTAAAACCATAACAAATAAATTGTTCATGAACATATTATTGACCTGAACAAAGCGATGGGTCGAATGAAAACGTCACTTTCATCACCGGTCGCTTGACCAGTCGACGTTCCGTCGAAATTCCAAATCGGTAACTCTGGAAGGAGCTATGCTTGAACTTTACTCGATCAGGATATTAATAGTGAGCCTAAGCCTAAGCCTAAGCCAAGCCTGAGCCTAAGTCTAAGCCTGAGCCTAAGTCTAAGCCTAAGTCTAAGCCTAAGTCTAAGCCAAGCCTGAGCCTAAGCCTAAGCCTAATAAGCCTAAGCCTGAGCCTGAGCCTAAGTCTAAGCCTAAGTCTAAGCCTAAGCCTAAGCCTGAGCAAACACTTTTATTTAATAATTTTCAAACTCACGATCCGGGCTTGTCGGCTCAAAGTCGAAAGTCTTCGATTTGCACCGGAGAAACTCTCCTGTTCCGTCGATCCAAATATATTTTACCTAAAAACAGAATGATAAGCGAGATGATTTCAACAACCTGAACCAATCCATTTTGATCTAAATCTCGATACTTGTCCATAATCGAGCTTGTCGCCGAGATTTCTAAATGATATAGCTAATAGGTTAAATTTCAAAGATTTAAGCTCACTTTCATACTTTCGTTTGAGACTTTTGCTGCCGTTTGACATGTTGGAGATCTGTAATTGAAAGCATTGATTTTGAATTGAAAAATGAAAGCAAAATCCGGCAATAGTTTTCGGCAATAGTTTTCAGAAATAATTGTAAACAAAATAGTTTAGAGTTCAAATTTCTAGACGATTTTTAGACGATTTCTAGACGATTTCTAGACCATTATAGTAAACGCAAACTTTCCTATTGCACTATTACTCCAAATTTCTTTCATGAGAAATCGGAGAGTGAGCGAATAAAAATAAATCAAACTTGGGAAAATGGCTCAGTGAGAGGAGAAGGGAAATGGATCAGAAAAAAAAAGGTTTTTTGGATCAAAAAGAATGATCTGGAGGTCAAAATGTTTCCGAAAACGATTTTTCGACGGTTTTAGTACCCGAAAAAAAAGGTAAAAAAAGGTAAAAAAGAAAATCTTTGAGAATTTTAGAAAACCGCGGAGAAAAACCGACGGTTGACGTAATGCTGGGTGGAAAAGAAAAGGAGAGAAAGGGGAAATGGAGAGGAAAAGTTGGGAGAATTTGTGTCTTGATGAGGAGATCAGAGTACATTTTGCAAACTGCTAAACGTTTTTGGAGCTATTGAACTTTAAAGTTTAATGTTTAATTTGATACTTTTACATAACAAAAAGCTTATAAAATTTGACGAATAAATACCGAAAAAGTTTGAGAGCTTATACAGTAACTTTACAGTAACTTTATAGCCAGTAAGAGTATTATATTTCTCCTGTAAACGCCTGGTATCTGGCACACTAGATCAATACTTACCGTAAATACCGTAATAGTATCTCACCCCCATAATGACGGTGCGGAGCGTTGCGTAGTCTAGCTTTGAACGAGTTTTTCTCGACACTGGTTTATGCTACAAGGCGAGCTTAGGTATCAAAAAATAGCTGAAATTCAGGGCTATTTTTTGTTACCAAAAACGCATTTTTTGAAAGTACGGGCGCTTTGAAAAATACTAAAAAACTTCTGCGACTAGCGACGACGCGACTGTACGAGGGCGCTGGGGTACTATTACAGTATTTACAGTATATCCTAATTTGACCTTTCAATTCTGATCAAAATTAAGAATTCATCTTTGAATAGAGATTTAACGGAGATTAACACATTCACGACGAGATTTTTTGATTTTTGTATAACTTATTTCCCTTCCAACTCGTTTAAAAACATTTATTCAGTCTAGATTGGGTATTCAGTCTAGATTAACTGGATTACGGTATTTAGTCTAGATTTAGGTATTCAGTCTAGATTAACAGGATTACGGTATCGAAAAACGCGTTTTTGAAAAGCCAGAAATACACACCTTCCCTTGCATGCCCTGAAATTCGTCAAAAATTAAATTCAATTAAAAAACAAATATGCCATCTTAAAGAGCACATTTCAAGCTTTCAGAATCACTATAACACTAATAGGTGGCAGTGGACAATTCTCAAGTTACGGCGCTTTAAAGTTGAGGTAAAATTCGATGTTTTTAATACTAACACATTTACGACGAGATTTTTTTTGGATTTTTGTGTAACTTATTTCCCTTCCAACTCGTCTAAAAATATTCACAGACAACCGATTTGCTTAAATTAAGGATCAAAATGAAGAGAAATGTTTGAGGATCATTTATGTAAAACCAGATTAAAGAAATATTCAGTCTGAAGAAAATTTAGAATGTTTTATCATAAGAAATTTCCGGAAATTTCATTCAAAGGTTGATATATAGATATTCAAAGGTTCAGAACTCTCTTCAAACTCAATATTTCTTTAATCTCTTTTGTGATAAATGATCCTCAAACATTTCTCTTCATTTTGAATCTTAATTTAAGTAAATCGGTTGTCTGTGAATATTTTTAGACGAGTTGGAAGGGAAATAACTTACGAAAAAATCAAAAAAACCTCGTCGTAAATGTGTTAAAATAAATAAGTTGAATAAATAAATAAGAAAATAAGTTGAATCGGATTGAAAACAAATATCGATAGAACTTCTTAAAGTAGATAAACTTTCTATTCAAAGCTAAACCCAAAGCAAATATCAAATATAGCTTTGAGAAAGTTTATTTAGTCCTATTTTCGAGCTAAACTTCTATAGGACTCTATTGAACTATATTATTAGCTCTATTGAACTATATGATTAGCTCTATTGAATTATATGATTAGCTCTATTAAACTTCCCCTACTAAACTTCTATAGGACTCTATTGAACTATATTATCAGCTCTATTAAACTTCTATAGGACTCTATTGAACTATATGATTAGCTCTATTAAACTTCTATAAGACTTTTAAAGTTATCAGTAGCATTCAACTAAAATCAGTTAAATGTTTTGTTCAAAAGGTTACTTTGAACTTTCAAATAATAACAAACAAGTTGTGAAAAGTATTGAGGGAAAAATGGCAAAAAAAACTTCAAAAAATGCAAAAAGAGGCAATGAACGAATGAAAATCGATTGCACCCAGGGAAAAGAGGAAAAAGAAAAAGAAAAAGGGGAATGGGTTAAACAAGAATTCTCACCAATCCCTTCTCTTCAATGTACTCAAATCTCGATACTGATAATATCTGCCTAATAATTGGACTGATAATGCACTCTAGGGTTTTAATAGGAAAAATGAGATCTTGAAAGGATTGAAAAACAGGATTTTCGGTTTAATTGTCTGATTGTCAACCTTAACTGAAGATTCTTTTAATAAAAATGCTTCAAATGGTTAAAATGAATGGAATTTTTTCTAGAAATGTACCCAGAAATTGCTTGATGCTTATTTTAATAGCTAATCAAGTTATCAAGGTGGAAATTCTGAGTTTCTGAGAATTCAATTACGAGGCAGATACAAGTGGACACAGTTTAATTCCCCTCAAATAAATGGCTTCTTTTTATCATCAAATTGACCAGAGACTACATTTATCTGTGAATGAGAAGAAGAAACTTTGGAAAAAGTCATCTTTGTGCTTGATTTAGCAAATTTAAACGACAACTTTTTGATAAATTGATTCAAAACTTTTTAATGAGTAGCTATTTGTTAGGAATATTGTAAGTTATTGGTTCAATTACTCACTGATCTTGTTCTTGTTCTTGATGATAGTTCTTGATTCATTAATTGACTACAAAACACAGTAAAACCTCGATAACAAAAAGCTTAAAGGATTTCAAAAAAACCTTTTTGTTATTAAGGTTTTTTGGTATTGAAATTTTGCCTCATAAGGCTACGAAGTGCCCTAAAAAGTGCCCTAAACTAAGAAGGCACTAAGAAGTGCCCTAAACTGTTCTAACAGCTCTAACTGTTAAAAAACTGATAATAACTTTTAGCTGATACCAATACAGAACGCAAAATCTTCAAGCAAACAAGTTACACAAAAACAAACAAAATCTTCAATCAAACAAACAACAACAATTGACGCAAAGAGCTACATTCCTGTATTGGTATAATATTGGGCTGTCCAGTTATGAATGCGCGTTTTTTACTATTTTGTAAATTTCCCAAGATACCGAAATCAAGAAAAAGATTTATATGAGTATTATTCGAAAGCTGAAGGTCTCCTCTACATCTTGATATAAAAGGTTTTTGAATTTGTTCAGCTTTTGGGCAAATTGACTGCACAGAAGAAGAGGTGGCCAAAAAATGGAAGGGTGCCTTTGGATCAAGTTTTGGCTCCGCTCAAATTGAGTTAACCGTTTGATGTTTGGCTAATAGATATATCAATACAACTTTTTTAAAATATAACAATTTCAGAGCATCTTTACTTTTCTTTTCTGGGCGGTTATTTTACACCATAAAACTTGAGGAATAGCTAGGCTGAGATGAGTTTTTTTTGAAAACGACCTCTCCCTTTGTGCAGTCAATTTCCCAAAAAGTTGAATGAATTCGAAAATTTTTTTATTCCAAAATGTAGAGGAGATCTTCAGCTTTCGAATGATATCTAACACTCATATACATCTGTTCGATATCTTGAGAAATTTACAAAATAGTAAAAACGCGAATCCATAACTGGACAACCCAATATATATGCTTTATTAAGTCGAATAGCGACAAAACAAGATCACAATAATCACCCAGGATACCACTCCTGGGTGATACCACTCAAAACACACCCAAAAGGTAAAAAGATACCTCAAGTAAGAATCACAGAGCAGTCAAATCAATTGCCGAAATTGCCGCTTTAAGCTAAATCAGCTGGTATCAGCTAAAAGTTGTGCAAAGTGCTTGTTGTGCCACAAAACAGAAATAAGAAGAGTTAAAATACTGAAACTTCACATATTACAATACACAAAGAAGTGCAAAAGATTGGAAAAAGATTGGATAAAGAGAAGTATTGAAACTTTGATCTTATCGTTTCTTGATAATGGAATAAATGAGCTTTACCAATTCTTGAAAGAACAACTAAAGAAATTTAAAATAGTGAAAGTTCGAGAGTTGTTTCAATGAGCATACGATTGCTCGTTTCTGTCGATGTTTGCGAAAAAATGATATGTGAAAAGGAAAAGGGAAAGAAATGAAAGGAAAACGAACAAAATGCCTCTTTGATCTCTTGGCTTTTGAAATTTGGTTTTCTTTTCCTCTTTGCCGTTTTTGAACCGCTTGTTTTTGTGCAAAATGGTTGGAAAAAGATTGGATAAAGAGAAGTATTTGAACTTTGATCTTATTGTTTCTTGATAATGGAATAAATGAGCTTTAAATGACCAAGGAAATCTAAGAATACCAGGAAAGAAATCTAAGACCAAGGAAAGGAAGAATAAATGACCAAGGAAATCTAAAATAGTGAAAGACTATGCGTAAGATTGTATTTTATTACTAATTATTGCTCATTTTATTTCTTTATTGTATAGTTAACTCCCTCTGGAGTAAGGGAATCACGGGCGCTGTGGTTAGCTAAGGCTAAGCCTAAGCCTAAGCCTTGAAGGTTAGCATTTGCCTGGTAAGCGAAAGGTCGCAGAATTTCAAAACCTCTTTTTGAAAAAAGAGGCAGACAGAAAAGGGGAAAATGTGATGTGAAAAGGAAATGGAAAAGCGGCGTTTTGATAGCTGAAAATCGTCAAAATCAAACTAGAACATAGTGAGGTGAATATTTTGAAAATCAAATAATTTGAAGTAATGAGACAAACATAGTCATTATCGACTAACTATTAGGTTGATGCATAAGTCTTTTTGTTCCTTTTCGTCTGCCGTTTCAAGCCAACAAATGCACCAATTAAACTACGGTTGATTTCATTAGAAAAACCAATTATTTTTCTGCAAAATAACATTAAAACGGGTTTAAAAATATTTTATGCCTGGATTTTCTTGAGAGTATGAAGTCGGGTAGTCAAAAAGGGCTAACTCGATGATGCGGTTTAGACACCTTAGCTAAAGAAAACCTATCTTCGTGTCAATAGATAAAAGATAGAGAAAAAAAAGTTTGATATTTCGCCAAAATTTCACAGAAATTCATTCAGCCAATTTTTCCGTAGAGTTTTTTATAGATTTTTACGAAAAAGGCGTTTTTCACTCTCGAATTTGCTTGAAAGTCAACCGAAATTCATTTAAAAAGATGCAAATTGAACAAAAAAACACTTTTTTTATAGAGCAAACTATAGATTAATTGGTGAATTTGTTACTTTTTAACAGAAGTACGAAAAAAACGAAAAGACTTATGCATCAACCTAATATTTGGATAAAAAATAATACAGTTGGAACTAGGGCAGATCAAAAACTCGGGTGCCGCCGGGACTCGAACCTGCGACCTTTCGCTTACCAGGTAACTGCTAGCCTTCAACTGCTAGCCTTTAACTCTAGCCTTTAACTCTAGCCTTCAGCTGCTAGCCTTCAACTGCTAACCTTCAACTGCCAGCCTTCAGCTGCTAGCCTTCAACTGCTAGCCTTCAACTGCTAACCTTCAACTGCCAGCCTTCAGCTGCTAGCCTTCAACTGCTAGCCTTCAACTGCTAACCTTCAACTGCTAACCTTCAACTGCTAACCATTACACCACAACGCACGTGGTTCCCTTACTCCAGAGGGAGTTAACTATACAATAAAGGAATAAAATGAGCAATAATTAGTAATAAAATACAATCTTACGTATAGCCTAACTGAACCAAAACCATCTTAAACAATCGATCAAGCTAACAAGCAATGTCTCATTATCAGGCTAGGTTTTTTTGAAGCACTGGATATTTGAATGTTTAGGCTTACCGTATTCCCCAATTTTAAAGGTTTTTCGCTGAGAATTTGCATAAAAGGTTTTCGAATTGAAGACTCATTCGAAGTTGTCGATTCAATGGTTGATTGCTCTATCTGAAATAAAATTATCATCCACGACTGCACATAAAGAAGCCTGAAAAAGGGAAAGCTGTTAATTCTGTTCTAAGCCATTTTTCTTCAGGTTTCAAATATTCAGAAGAATGCTTAGCTAATGGTTGCTTGATTGATTTCGGTTATTATGGTTATATTAGTCGCTGCAAGCCAACAACTATTCAGAAGCATTAGCTAAGCATTCTTCTATTAATTCCATTTGTAGTTTCTATTAGATTTGCAAGAAATTTCATAGAAAAGTTTTTGGACAATGATTTCTCATAAAACCAAGCCAAAAACCAAGCCATTCTTTCCAAATCTTTTTGATAAATTTGAATATAGTCAAAAATTGACAAAAAATAGTCAATTTTTGACTTTTTGCTAAAAAATCAGACTAGGCTTTAGGTAAAAATAAGAGATTTCTTTAGCTGAAGTGATTTCGCTTTTTAGTAGCCTTTACACAAGGTTTTAATGAGATTAATGGATAGGTAATGGATTGAAAACCTAAAATCAAGTACTTAAAACAGGAAAAATTTGATATAATGCTTTAACTTTTCAGAAGGATTTATTTTGGCAAAGTGCCAAGAAGACGAGATTAAAGATTATTTGTTGAAATACAAATAAATCGATTTTCTTAAAAAGACGAGTATTTACTTACTCCTAATCTTAAAGGTGTTTGCATGAAGGGTTCTCGGATTGATTGCTCATAGGTAAGAAGTTCTTGCTTCAATGGACGATTGTCTATTCAATCGATTGTCAATTGAATCTATTTAAAGACAATTGTGCTTTGAACTTTGATAGCTTACTTTCAAATTTCAATGGCTAAGTTTAGAGGTTCATTGGCTATTTTCAATGGCTTTTATTAAAGTAATAGAATGTCTTCTTAGAAAGAATGATTCACCTCTTGAACTTTTCTATCTTCTGCCTCATCTTCGTCCATCTTTATACCCGAACTCAAAAGGAATTGTTCCAAAGAGAGTCGATCTTTAGATTCATTCTGTAAATTGATAAAACAATATAAAACACTAGCTTTACTTGATTCTTTGAACAATTCATCAATTCAGAATATTCTGTGAGATGCTTTGATTGGAGATGTCGACGAAGCCCAGAGGTTCCAGTTTTCGAGTCAAATTTGTAGATGCCTTTTGCAATGCCATTTTGAACGCACAGCTTGCAGATTGCTTGATTTTCAGAAATGCTGAAGAATGACCAAACTAAAACGATTAGATTTGAAAAAGTTCAAGTCCACGCACCGTCAGAAGCCTTTCTTCCTTGATTGGCAGACATTTCTCGAAAATCGGCCTGCTTACACAATTCTTTAAAAGTTTGACTAGCAAATCAACAATGAAACAAAAACAAAACAAAACGAATTGTTAAGGATATCCTTAGCAAGATTTTGAGGGTTTTCTAAGGTTTGAGATAGAGTGAAAGGTGAAAATCGATGGATGAGATGGATGGGATGGATGGGATAAAGCGTTCTTTCTCTTTCTTTTTGTCATGGGATGGGCTGCTCTTTTCCAATCTCATCCCATCTCTTTTGCTATCGGAAATGGGATGGGATAGCGCATTTTTCTTTTCTTCAATCCTGCATCTTTTCTTTGTTATCCACAGGAAGGACTAAAGTATGTACATTTCGAGTAAAGCGTTTTCGTCCCACGAGGAAGTTACCTTAATTGTGTGAATGTGAATTGCTTCCATAAAATTCGATTGACAAAAGATCAAAGGTAATAAACTTAATTTCTAGTAAAGTTAACTATTTTTATTATGCAAAATGATAGGATCACCCCTAAATTTTACATTTTTTGGCTATGAAATTTAATAACGCGAAATAGCTTTTAAATCCTAGAAATATATATGTCGTAGCCGATTAAGGATTTCAGCCGAAGAAGTCTCAGACTTCATCGGCTAGCCGATTAAGTCTCAAAAATGAAATCTATGACTCAAGTCAATACCACAAACTCAAGCTCTCAAAAAGGCACTTAAAAGCTAAAAACGCTCTCTAAAAGCTCTCTAAAAGGCGCTAAAAACTAAAAACTTGTAGTGCTATTCTCTCTTCGATACGAAATAACAATAAATTTGAGAATAAACAAAAGAAAAACGAATGAAAAGTTCATTAATAATCAATAGATGCTCCCTTTTTCGCGATAGACGCCGAGTAGTCGACTTTTCATCGAGTTCACTAAGTTTTGAAGCGTTTGTGGTGGAATTGACGTCCAAGCTTGCAAAATTGCTTTTTAGTTGCGCGAAATCGTGTCGTAAGTCTTTTCATTAGCATAAATACAGTGGTCCACAAATGTATTGTCCCATTGCCATCCAAAAGTTTCTTTCGTACGAAAATCTTGCAAAATAACGATATTCCCAAAGAGTGTAGGGTATTTTGCTTACCCATAATACTCTACTTTTCAAGATTATAAGATTTATCCGTATACATTGCATAAAAAGTAAAGGTATAAAAACAAAAACAATAAGTTACTTAACAAATAGATCGCCCCACAAAGGAATCCCCAATTTTTCAAAAAACTTGCAAAAAGGGCCCTTTGCTAAGCGTTGGTCCTCCTGCTTGATCAAATCCACCCTTCGATTGGTCCTCTTTGGCTTGGAATCCCGCGCTTTTTCCAAAAGACTTGGGGGATGGTGGCCCAAAGACGTTGAATGTGAACCCATAAGGGCCGGCCTTCGAATCGAATTTCTTTCCCTTGAGGCGCGACTTCACAAATGACCACAAATGTTTAATTTTTTGTGGTGGGGGGGGGGGGGGGGGGGGGGTTAATTAATAAAGATTTGTCGCAAAAAACCGGGGGGGGGGGGGGGGTTTGGTTTTTTTTTTGGGGGACGGGGGGCCCCCCTTCCAGTGTCGGGTTTTGTTTCGGGGGGTTGTCCTGCTGAAGCATCCATCCGGGAGGCATGGTTCGAGATTTAAAAGGAAGCATTTGAGTCTCCATAATGTTCTTGTAGGCCACAGCATCCATCGTTGAGTTGCTCGTGAACTAATGGACCTACGGAAGTTCGTGACATCGCTCCTAAAAAAAAACAGTCAGGTGACAAAATACTTAAAAAGGTTCTTACCCCAACAAACATTATGTTTCCACCGTTGAATTTCACGGTAGCGGCCGAATGTACTTGAGTGGGTTCGCCTTGGCGCCGGGTGGTGGGTATAGTTGGTTTGGTCATCCGCGTGAAATAAAATGATTTTTGTCTTCATTTTCTTTACTTTCGCCCAATCACTTGTCGTCCAACTTCGGTAGGTCCGCGCGAAGGGGGGGGGCGTCCTCTGCTTAGTTTTCGGGGAGGTTGCGGTGGATCCTTTTAGGGTTTCCGGGGGTCCCCTTTTTTTTTTTTTTTTTTTTTCTTTTGTTTTTTTTTTTGGATCTCTTTTTTTTCTTTTTTTTTTTTGTGTTTGGTTGTCGGCCACTTTTGGGGCCTTGAGAAAGGTTTCGGTAGGCTTTTGATTTGGAAAAAATGCGGCGAATAGATTGAAAAGGTTTTCCACATTCTTTCCCGTTTTCCGGGTTGGCGTCCCCCCTTGGCTTTTTGGAGTTTGTCAAGGTTTTTCTTGCCAGTCAACCTAAATAATAAAATAAAATACATTTAATGTTCATAGAAAGCAAAAATAAAAAGAATAATCAAGGAAAACATCAATGGGACATTACTTTTGTGGAGCTATTTGTTAAGTAACTTATTGTTTTTGTTTTATACTTTAATTTTTCTGCAATGTATACGGATAAATCTTATAATCCTGAAAAGTAGAGTATTATGGGTAAGCAAAATACCCTACACTTTTTGGGAATATCGTTATTTTGCAAGATTTTCGTACGAAGGAAACTTTTGGATGGCAATGGGACAATACATTTGTGGACCACTGTATTCCTTACGAGGATGCCCTATAAGTTTTCAATAGAGTTTAAGTCCAGTGAGCAGGTAGACCATTCGAGAAAATCGATGTTGTGACGTTCCAGAAGCTTTAGTGGATTGCCTAACATGAATTGAGGCGTTATCCTGTTGAAAAATATAGTATTTCCCTCGATTTTGTGCTAGGAAAGGAAGTAGTTGATCCGCAAGGACATCCTGGTAATCGTTCGAGTTCATGCGACAAGTCACAAATTCTAAATCAAGAACGTCATCCACATTGAGAGCGCCCCATATCATCAGCGATCCTCCTCCGAAGTTTCGATGCCCACAAAGCATTGGATCTTTTCTCAAATCGTGCCAGGAGTACTTGTTGCCGTGGGGACCATCCAAATTAAATCTTTTCTCATCGCTGAAGATGACCTACAAAGAAAAAAATTGTTATGGAAGCAAATTTTGAGAAAATTTAGATTCTTTCAACAGTTTCAATAAAGAATCTTTCAAAAGCTCGCAATTCTAATTTCAAAATTCCTAAAATGACTCTAGATTTGTTATTTTTAGCTCAATTTAGTCGTAGAGCGGTTGGTTTTAAAGAAAAATATCTCCTCCTTTTGAATATAAAACTGGATAAGCTTTATTTGTATCCCAGCTTTTTTAATCACTAGATTTGTCAGCTGGATAGCGGATAGCGGAGGGCTGGATAGCGGAGAACAGAGAGCTTTGTTTGAAAAGATAATAAAACCAATCTTTTTGATGAATCTTTATGACAAACGCTTAATTTTAATAAAATTTTAAATATTTATTTTACTATTCTTTTCACTTCTCCTTTGTCTTTTCGAAACCTGAATTTAGCGCTTTCAAAAGTAACAGAACTTTGCAGCCATTCTGTAAAACGAGCGACGGTTAGGTCGCAGGTTCGAATCCGGTCAGAGTCAACATTTTTAAGAAAGAATTCTGATTTACTTAATTTAAAAAAAAATCTAATACCGGATTTGGATTCCCCACTATCGATTTGGTATTCTCACAAATTTACGGGTCGATCTGACGATTCAGGCTAAAAAATCGAGGGACTCACCACGAGGGACTCATCGCGTGGAACAAAGGTTCCTTCGTTCCACACGTCTACTCAATTAGGGATATTTAGACAATAGTTTTAGTTTTAGGTTTAGTTTTTGTTATTTAAATTGTTAATAGTTTTATTTAGGCTTAAGATACTAGTGAAAGGATCCACCGTGTGGGTTCTTTCGTCGTGAATTTGTTAATATCAAAAACCCAAGTTAAAGAACAGTCTCTTTAAACTTATTCAAACTCTTTTCGTTATTTAAACTGTTAATAGTTCTAGTTTTAGCTTTAGTTTTAGCTTTAGTTTCAGCTAATTAGCTGAAGTTAGCCTACAGTTAGCTGTCAATAGTTTTATTTAGGCTTAAAATACTAGTGAAATGACTTTTTGTCGAATCCGAGTCACTTACAAATCTTCGTTATCAAAGCATTCATAAATTCACAGTTTTACAAACTATCACAAATTAAACTATTCTCCATAAAACTATCACAAATTAAACTGCTCAAAAATGAATTTGCTCAAAAATTTAGCTCATAAAATTGAATAGAAAAAGAAAAAAAGAAAAAGAAGATAAAAGAGATAAAGGGGAGACTAAAGCCTGAAAAAGCTAGAGATTATCAAATTTTCCCGGCTCACTGTTCATTGCAATCTCTCACAAAAACACTTTATACTGAAAATTTTGATAGTTTTTTTGAAACAGCAAAGTTTTTGTCTTTCTTACTGAAAATTGAAGCTCTAAAAGCTCTCTAAAAGCTCTCTAAAAGCTCTCTAAAAGCTAAATCCAGATGAACTTCCTCGAGCGATGGTTGAAATGGCTCAACTCGTTGTCTCCAAGGAAAGTGAACCTTTAACAACTATTTCAGCTTTCTAAACTTACTTTAGATCTCGATTTTCATGACCATTCTAAATCTGCTACTATTGATTGGCAGTATCATTGTTTTGTCGATTGGTTTAAGTCAAAAATGTATAGCTTTTAAGATTGAATCTCAAAAATGTCGATTTAGCAAAAAGTATTGAATCAAATCCAATTTACGAAGATGTTTCTGGTGTTTTGTTGCATTTTTCTATCAATTCAGAACTACCTTGGGATCCCTCTTTTTCTGATAGAAACTCTAGCGAAACTACAACAGCGATGGAGGATTTTCGGCAAAATGTTTTTCACTTATTAGTTGATCTTTTCAAAGCGTTACTTCAGATTACGAATAGTTTTGACTCAATGAAAGCAATGTGGCCTGATTATGCTTTAGAGTAAGAACATTTGTTCGGATAAATCTTTGTATTTTCATTGTTGAAGACAACAAGACAACACTTTCAGAACTCCCACCAACACCACTCTATTCTACGGAACTTTTCTCTTTTCTTCCGAAACTTCAACGGAATC